TTGGGGGAAAATCAGGCGATTTTACCATAAAATTAACATTTTTAACTCCCAAAACCGCTTGATATGAGAAAAGTGGACTTTCTTTTAATGGGTTTGGGGGTTTTGAGGAGAATTTTGGAGGAAATAAGGCATTTTTGTGTGGTCGAAGAGAGTTGCCCCTTCCCCATTCCGTGCTATGAGATAAAGCATTGGGGGAAAACAAGGCGATTTTACCCCAAAATTAACATTTTTAACCCCCAAATTTTCTTGATAAGGAAAGTGTGGAGTTTGTTTTAACGGGTTTGGGGGTTTTGAGGAGGTTTTTGGGGTCGTTAAGGGCATTTTGGTGTGTTTGAAGAGACTTCCCCCATTCCTTGCTATGGGATAAAGAAATGGGGGAAAATCAGGCGATTTTACCCCAAAATTAACATTTTTACCCCAAAATCTCTTGATATGGAAAATATGGACTTGGATTTAATGGCTTTGGGGGTTTTGAGGAGATTTGTGAAATAAAGGTTTTTTTGGAGTGTTCAAACTGCCTCTCCCCATTGCCTGCTGTGGGATAAAGAAATGGGAGAAAATCAGGCGATTTTGCCCCAAAATCGATTGTTTAATTAAAAAAACCCTCTTGATATGGGAAAAGTGGACTTTGATTTAATGGGTTTGGGGGTTTTGAGGAGGATTTTGGGGGAATTAAAGGCATTTTGGAGTGTTCGAACAGCCTCCTCCCCTCCTTGTCTCCGCTATGGGACAAAGAAATGCCCAAAAGAACATCATTTTCCGCCCAAATCGACGCGTTTAACTACCCCAAAAACCTTAATTTTGAAAATTGGATTGGGATTCAATGGATTTGAGAGGTTAAACGAGTTTTTTTTGGGTGAATTTAAGGCATAAGGGTTTCACCTCCCTCCCCCAGTCCCCACTGTTGGACAAAGAAATAGCTCAAATTAAGGCGATTTTTACACCAAAACCGGCAATTTTCACCCTAAAACCCCCTTTATCTTGAAAATTGAGTTTGTATTTAAAGAGTTTAGGGGGTTAAAAGTGGGTTTTGGGTGGATTAAAGGCATTTTGGAGTGTTTCACCCCCCTCCCCCATCCTCTCTATGGGACAAAGAGATGCCTGAAAAAACCGCTTTTGCCCCTAAATCGACGTTTTTAACCCCAAAAAACCCTTTGATATGGGAAAACTGGACTTGGATTAATGGAGTTGGGGGATTTAAAGGAGGTTTTTGGGTGATTTTAAGGCATTTTGGAGAGTTTAAACAGCCTCCTCCCTCATAGCACGAGGAGGGAAACACCTAAACCCAGCCCACTTTTCCCTAAAATCCACACTTTTCAACCCAAAAAAAACCCCTAGATGGGGAAAGATTTGCCTTCGATTTAATGGGTTTGGGGGTAAAAATGAGGTTTTTCGGCGAATTAAAGTATATTTTTTACTGTTTAATCAGCCTCCCCCCTCATAACACGAGGTGGGAAAGAGGCATCTAAACCCAACCCACTTTTCCCTAAAAGTCACACTTTTCACCCCAAAAAAATCCTCGACAGGGAGAGATTGGACTTTTATTTAATGGGTTTGGGGGGAAAAATGAGGTTTTTTTGGCGAATTTAAGGTATTTTGGGAGGGTTTAAACATCCCACCTCAGAGCATGAGGCGACAAAATGGCGCCCGGGGCTGTTTGTCACCAAAATGGCATTTTTTTCCCTTAAAATTAAGATTTGTTTCCCATATTTTCTCCGTTTAATTGTCATATGTGCTACAAAGTTAGGAGTTTTGATGCTTTTGAGCCTGAAACTGGAGAAAGAACCGCGAAAATAGCGGAAATAAAGGGATTTAACACACCCCCCCCCCCCCA